GTAAACTATCCACGTCTCGCAGGCGTATAGCAGGGTTGGGAGGACAATAGGAGGACAATAACAAGCACCTTGGTATCCCTACGGATGTCCCGGTCCTCAAGGACTCTCTGCTTCATTCGGAAAAATGGTGCACTCGCAGAGCTCAGGCGGTGTTGAATTTTGGTGTCATTGTTGACTTTGGTGGAGAGGTGGCTGCCAAGGTAGCGGAAATGGTCAACATTTTCTAATGTTACACCATTAAGTTGTATTTCTGGCATTGGAGAGGGGTTATCCAGTGACTGCTGGAAGAGCACTTTGGTTTTCTCAATGTTTAATGACAGGCCGAGCTTCTCGTATGCGTGTTTAGAATGGCTTGCAGATTTTCTTCTGAATGTGCACAGATGACACTGTCATCACCATATCCGAGTTCTGTAACATGTTGTTGTAACCTTGGTTTTGGCTTTCAGTCTGCTGAGGTTGAATAGCTTGCCATCTGTCCAATAGATGATTTCCAACAATGGGAGCCATTGTTGTCCAAGACTGTTGCCATCATGTCATCATGGAGGAGTCACAAGATGTTCACAAATTTGTTAGGGCACCCGATTTTTTGGAGGATGGTCCAGAGAGCGCTGCGATTCACTGTGTCGAATGTCTTTGCAAGGTCAATGAATGCCGTGTACAGAGGTTGATTTTGTTCCTTGCATTTTTCTTGGAGCTGTCGTGCAGTGAAGATCCTATCCACGGTTCCTCTAGAGGGGCAGAAGCCATTCATGGATTCTGGGAGGGTGTCTTCTGAGAGGGGCAGAAGGCGGTTTGCAAGGATTCTTGCGAGGATTTTCCTAGCGGAGGTTAGAAGGGAGATACCTCGATAGTTTCCGCAGCCTGTTCTTTCCCCTTTTTTGAAGAGGGTGATGATGGTGGCGTCCTTGAAATCTGCTGGGATTTTCTCGGTCACCCACACTTTTTCTATGAGCTGATGGAGTTGGTGTGTCAGCTCAGGTCCTCCCTCTTTAAAGATGGGATCCCATCTGGTCCAGCAGGGATCCCATCTGGTCCACTGGCTTTGTTATTCTTCTGTTGGCTGATGGCATTGCTGACTTCTTCCAAACTAGGCAGTGCTGCAAGCTCATCCCTGGTTTGTTGTTGTGGGATTTGTGAGAGGACCTCTTCGACCACATTGGAGCTGCGGTTCAGGAGGCTTTGGTAGTGTTCTTTCCAACGTAGTGCAATTGAGTTTTGGTCCTTCAGGAGTTTGGTTCCATCTGATGAGCGTAGAGGCTGTATGCCATGGTTTCTTGGTCCGTAGATGACCTTTGTGGCTTTGAAAAATCCCTGAGCATTATGGGTATCTGCCAGGTGTTGGATTTCTTCGGCCTTCTTTGTCCACCAGATGTTCTTGAGTTCTCTTGTCCTTCTTTGGACCTTCAGCTTTTGCACTGGCATAGATCTTTTTCTTAGCAGCACAGTTGATGTCTCTCTGCCATGCTTGGAAGGCTTTCCTTTTCTTGTCAATTAGCTGTTGGATCTCGATGTCATTTTCATCAAACCAGTCTTGATGTTTCTTGGCTTGGTATCCAATAGTTTCTTCGCAGGCTTGGATGATGGAGGTCTTCAGTTTGTTCCAATGTTCCTCGACACTTTCGGGGTGTACTGTGGGTAGATGGTCCTTGAGTGCTGTTTGGAGATGGGCTCGCCTGGAGGGCTCCTGAAGGGCTTGGGTGTTCATTTTGCGCCTTGTCTTCCTTCCTTGGAGTCTGCGCTTGGGAGCGATCTTGATAGCCATCGAGGATCGAATTAGCCTGTGGTCAGTCCAGCAGTCGTCAGCACCTGTCATGGCTCTTGTGAGCACGTCATGGTGGTCTCTGGCCCGTGTGATTACGTAGTCTTAAGAGGTGCCAATGCTTTGACCGGGGGTGCTTCCATGATGTCTTGAACTTGTTTTTGTGGCGGAAGAGCGTGTTGGTGATAACAAGGTTGTGTTCCGCACATTTGGTGAGAAGCAGGATGCCATACGTGTTGCTGTTTCCAACCCCGTCTTTTCCTATCGTCCCTGGCCACAGGTTGAAGTCTCGCCCGACCCTTGCATTAAAGTCCCCCAGGAGGATGATTTTGTCCTCCTTAGGTATCTCCGATAGGACGGTGTCCAGCTGACAGTAAATCTTTTCAGTAATAATTTTAATATAGTAATAATTTTGATATAGCCATAAATATAGTAATATATAGAAACTATGAACTGGGTTGCTTTCACATTATTTCCATTATTAATATATAATATATTATATGATATACTTCTTCTATATTATTAATATTATATATATATATATATATATATATATATATATATATATATAATATTTATAATTGATGATCGTATATTACTATATATTGTTATTATATTCCTATTTAGTATTTTACTGTGTCATCAAATCAATATACTATTATATATTATAGACTATCATTATATTTCTATATATTATCAGTTTTATTTTACTGTTTTATATTGTATTACTATATATTATTATTATTATTTTTCTATATATTATTTCATTATATCATTGTCAAATCACTATATTTATATATTATTATAAACTATCATTAAATTTTATTTTACTATATTATATTACTATATATTATATTATTAAAGGTCTATACATAACTTTACTATTATATTATCTCAATATTTATCATTATTCACAACAATGCTGGAATTGGGCAAAGGAGCGTATTATTTCTAATATAAATTTCTATAAATATAAGTATTATTTTAAAATAGTATTTGTAATGCTTTTGCCAATTCAGACCCTCGAGCTCTTTGGATTACAGAAAGAAATAATAGAAATAAACCACAAATATTTAGCTTAAAAACCACAAATGAAAAACCTGTTTTGAGAATCAATAAAAGACCCAGAAATATGCAAAACATTTGGAAAAACAAAGGGGAGAGAAACTAACGCCGCCTCTTTTGAAACTTGCTTATTAATAGTAACAACATTAATAATAATTTTATTTTTACCTTTTATACATTCATTATTATAAATTTTAAAATTATTACATTGAAAATAATGTTTACATTTTCTTATATTTTATTACTTTTATTGTTATTTCTTATTACATTTTATTGCTACATTATATTTTATATTATTACATTTTATTATATTATTATTATTTTATTACCTTCCATAACGTCATTATTATAAATATTAAAATTATTACATTCTAAGTTATATTATGTTTCTATTTTCTTATATTTTTATTACATTTTGTTATTGTTATTTTTTCTGATTATTATATTTTATTACTATATATTTTTTCTTATTATTACATTTTATTCCTATATTATATTGTAGTCAAATTACATTAAATGACTTTAGCATACAATTTACTATATTATTATATTTTAGGATATTATTGTTACATTTTATTCTATTATTATTGAAACTGTTAAAATGTAATACTATTTTAGCATAAATATGATATATTTATACATATTATATATATATATATATTTACTTATAGCTGTCTATATATATTATATTTCCATTTCTCTCTCTCTCTCTATATATATATATATGTATATTATATGTATACATACATAACTGTCATAGTGTATGTGTGTGTGTGTATGTATATATATATATATATATATATATATATACACAAGTTATTTATTATGTTTATATAAACTCCATAACACTGTTTTTAATCCAAATATTTTTTAAATGTTTTGTTTATTATTTGGGAGAAATAAAATAAAGACATTCTTTAAAAGTCTTTCTTAGGCTTAAAAAAGCCAGGAAAAGGAGGAGGAGGAAGAAGGCCATAAAAAAGACTCATTCATTCAGTTAATTAATCATTCGGTGAGTTAATTACATGTTTCTTTCCTAAGAAGGAGCACCTCCCCTTTTTATTATAATTATAAAGTTCACTTGTCTTTAAAGCGGAAGGCCAAATTCCTCAGAAAGAAGGAAAGAAGGAAGAAGAAAAGAAGGAGGAAGAAGAAAATAATTCAGGTGGAAAATTATAAATTATATTTAATACTCAACGTCCTGAAAAAAGCAGAAGCCTATCTGGATATATAATAACAGTAATGATGATTATTATATGTATAATTATATGTATTATTATTAAATATAATTATCATAATATGTATAGTCATAATATTTATAATGATATATGTGTGTGTGTGTTCAGTTTGTATATAACTATATAAATGTGTATATATATGATTTATATAAATGTATGTATATACAATACAATACAAAACTTTGTTACAGTCACTGACCAGCACAAGGTGTGGCACAATTGCCCTGGGAAGGGGAATATATATATATATATATATATATATATATATATATATTCCTAATTCAATTACAAATCAAAACTGAAGTTTCAAATCCAATGAGTAATCAATATTATATATCTTATATATTATACAGATTACTATGTTGTTATTATTATTTTCTTAAGAGCATTATTACATTTGATTACTATATTATTATTATTTCTTAGACTTATTCCTTAAACTATTATTACATTTGATTACTATATTATTATTTATCAGACTTATTTCTTAAATTATTATTACATTTGATTACTATATTAATATTATTGCGATTTCTTAGACTATTATTATTACTTCTTAAACTACTATTACATTTGATTCATATTTTTGTATGTTTGTTTCTTAACTATTATTATTTTTTCGCCATGATTATATTTGATTACTATTTTAGTATGTTTGTTTTTAACTGTTATCATTTCTTAGACTATGATTACATTTGATTAGTGTATTATTATTATTATTATTAATATCCTTATTTAGACTATGATTGCATTTGATTATTATTTCCCATTTTATTTTGATTTTTTTCTTCTCATCAATATGTGAAAGTGAGCCTCCTTTGAGGAAAAGGAGGACTTTGGCCCTTTTCAATGTTTCAACTTTGTTAAACTTAATTAACGGGCTACTAATTAAACCAAGGAAAGTGTGAGAATTCACTCTTGCTGTCCTCCATAGAGAAATGAAGGTCAAATTGTGGACGGTTGGCCTTTTAACGGCTCTCCTTCTGCTCCTCTTCCTTTCCCTCGGCCTCTACTTCGGACTGCGATCCAGAACGGATGGACCTCGGACTGAAGAGGAACACATCTACAAGAATGGCGCTGTTGCTACGGATGCTGGCCCTTGCTCCGAGATTGGCCGGTCTGTAATTATGCATATATATAATGAGATTCAAATCATGTCCGTATATAATATTATTATAATAACAAATCTTTATTTGTATCCCATTTTTCTCCCTAAACAGGACCCAAAGCAGCTCACAACTTTTTAAAACAATACAAATCGACCATACATCTATATAAATAAAGATGTAATGTTCATTTGTCTGATTAACATAACTCAAAAACCACTGGACGAATTGACACCAAATTTGGACACAATGTATACCTATCAGGCCAATGAGTGAACATCACTCATAAATGCACTGAAAAACACAGCAAAAGAGACTTAGAAAGCCAAAAAACAAAAATTACATTATAATGCATACGCAAAACCACATATATATACGCGAACACACATATACACAAATATACACACACAAAACACATATACACAGATTGGGCCACAGCAGCGCATGGCAGGGGACGGCTAGTATAGTAATAAACAATAAAACAAACTACAGTAAAGCATAAATAAACATTTTAAAATAATTTCACAAATACAATTGTTGCGGGAATTCATCAACTCAGATGATAAACTTCACTCGACTCACTGAATATTAGCCTTCCTGTCATTCCAAATTAAATATTCCAAATTAAGTATATTTGTTTGTATTTAGAGCCATTTCAATCTGGTTTCAGGCCGGGCTATGGAACAGAGATGGCATTGATTGCCTTGGTGGATGATCTCTAAAGAGAGCTGGACAGGGGCAGGGGTGGCTCAACCCATTACGCAAAGTAAGCATTTGCAGTATAATTGATTTTGCCCAGGGGCGCTCTTGGGGGAAAATAGACCTTGGCATATGCGAGTTCTAGTTACTGGGATGTATAGTTCACCTACAATCAAAGAGCATTCTGAACTCCACCAATGATGGAATTGAACCAAATATGGCACACAGAACTCCCACGACGAACAGAAAATATATATAACAGTGATTGGTTGGGGAGCGGGGTGCCAAAATACTGTTTGCTTACCGTTGAAAATTACCTAGGGCCACCTCTGGACAGGGGGAATATGTCCCAGTTGGTTCTCCTGGACCTCTCAGTGGCCTTCAATACCGTTTGTCATGGCGTCCCCCATGCTGTTTCACATAGACATGAAACCGCTGGGAGAGGTCATCCTGACTTTTGGAATGTGCTGCCACCTATATCTGGATGACACCCAGCTCTACTACTCCTCACCTAATGCCAAGGAAGCTGTCCTGACCCTAAACCAGTGCCTGTCATCAGTAATGGACTGGATGAGGACAAACAAGTTGAAATTAAATCCAGACAAGACAGAGGTGCTCCTGGTTAGTCGGAAGGCGGATCAAGGATTGGGACCCAGCCTGTGCTGGATGGGGTCACACTCCCCCTGAGGACACAGGTCAACAGTTTGGGGAGTCCTCCTGGACTCGGCACTCAGCCTGGTGGCTGGAGAGCATTCTTTGCACATTTAAATTTGTGTACCGACTGCACCATTCCTAGAGAAGCCAGATCTGGCCACGGTGGTCCATGCCTTACTCACACCCCATCTGGATGACTCTCTGTGGGGCTGCCTCTGAAGAGTGCTTGGAAACTTCAGCTGGTCCAAAGAGCTGCAGCCAGGTTGCTCACTGGAGCTGGTTCCAGAGAGTGTACCACCCCCGTTACAGCACCTACAGTGGATGCCAATATGTATCTGAGCCTGATTCAAGGTGCTGGTTTTGACCTATAAAACCCTAAATGGTTCAAGCCCAACTTACCTATTTGACCAACCTGCCTAATTATGAAAATCTTCCAAATACTGACTTAGGCGATCCCTCTTTGTCCGAGTAGGATTGTCTTCCAAGATTGGTGTACTGGTGGTGGGTACATAGGTGACTGTGGAGCCCTGTTCTAGATCTGCATCTTCTCCCACAGCCATCGGTTTCCAGGTGTAAGGCGGTCCTGGTCAGGGTTGTCTTGATGCGCCTTCCTCTTGGCACGTTTCTTTCTTTCACCCTCTATTCGTGCTTTTTCAAATTCTACAGCACTGCTGGTCACAGCTGACCTCTAGCTGGAGCACTGAAGGGCCAAGGCTTCCAAGTTCTCTGTGTAATGCCACAGTTTTTAAGGTTGGCCTTGAGCCCATCTTTAAATCTCTTTTCCTGTCCACCAACATTCCATTTTCCATTCTTAAGTTCGGAGTACAGCGATTGCTTTGGGAGACAGTAGTCGGGCATCTGGACAACTTGGCCAGTCCAGCGGAGTTGATGACGGAGGACCATCGCTTCAATGCTGGTGGTCTTTGCTTCTTCCAGAAGGCTGACGTTTGTCCGCTTGTCTTCCCAAGAGATTTGCAGGATTTTCCGGAGGCAGCGCTGATGGAATCGTTCCAGGAGTTGCATGTGACGTTTGTAGACAGTCCACGTCTCGCAGGCGTACAGCAGGGTTGGGAGGACAATAACTTTATAAACAAGCACCTTGGTCTCCCTATGGATGTCCCGGTCCTCAAACACTCTCTGCTTCATTTGGAAAAAAGCTGCACTCGCAGAGCTCAGGCAGTGTTGTATTTCAGTGTCAATGTTGACTTTTTGTGGCTGCCAAGGTAGTGGAAATGGTCAACAATTTCTAATGTTACACCATTAAGCTGTATTTCTGGCATTGGAGAGGGATTGGCTGGTGACTGCTGGAAGAGCTGCTGTCACAAATACGATTGGTAGTGACGAGAGAGAGAGGGAGGCTTTTTCGGTCGCCGCACCGGCCCTTTGGAACCCCCTCCCCATTGAGATAAAAACTGCCCCTTCCTTCCCTGCTATCTTTCAAGAACCAGTTGAAGACCTACCTGTTCAAGCAAGCTTTTAAGGAAGAAATTTAATTTGGAATGACAGAGAAGCTAACTTTCAGTGAGTCAAGTGAAGTATATTATTTGAACGAACAAATTCCTGCAACAACTGTTACCTGTTAAATGATTTTAAAATATTTATCTATGTCTTACTTTATAGTTGGTTTTATTGTTATTTTTATGGCTGATGTGTATTGTTTTTAAAATGTTGTGAGCCACTTTGGGTCCCATTTAGGAAGAAAAGCAGGATATAAAAAAAGATGTATTTATTATTATTATTATTTTACTGACACAAAAACACAGTATGCCACAGCAAATGAGATCTATATGCTGGATTTCATATCACAAAATCACAAGTCAAACACTTCCCAAGCATTTGGGACTGTGTGATATATTTTCAAATGGTGCGCGCAGATCCAAGTCAGGTGGCCTTTTGCAGTTGACAGATCGAGATTTTGTTAATGTTTATTGTTTCCAAATGCCGGCTGAGATCTTTTGGCACGGCACCCAGTGTTCCCATTACCACTGGGACCACCTGTACTGGTTTATGCCAGAGCCTTTTCAGTTCGTTTTTTAGGTCCCGGTAACAGTTGAGTTTTTCTTCTTGTTTTTCGTCAATTTGGCTGTCACCTGGTATGTCGACATCAATAATCCAAACTTTTTTCTTTTCCACAATCATCATCATCATCATCATCATCATCATTCTGCAAAGGCTTCTCCATGTCTCAATAGACAGGGACCAAAACCTAGCAGACATGTTTGTTGTTTTCTGACTTAAAATTACTGTGTGGGGCTGGCGGTCTAAAAACCAACAAAACAACATGTTTGTGCATTTGTTTGTTCTAAGGTGGCTCTGGTGTGGCTTGCTGGATCGAGACCAAACATGTTTGCACGTATTATGTATTCTCCAAAATTAAAATACTTTTGGGTTTGAAGGGGCATAATACATCAAGGATGATAGGAAATGGAGTCCAAACATATCCAGAAAATGAATCCCACCAGTGATGGATTGGGACCAAACTTGGCAGATATTACTTTTAATGATCCAAAATGAAATCCTGGTTAATTGAGAGGAGGTACCTCATAGAGGATGATGGGAAATGGAGTCTAAACATGTTCAGAGAGCCATCAAGGATGGATCATATTGGTTTGTATCAAGATGGCTTCTCTATGCTTTGATGGATCGGAACCAAATGTGTTATACTTACTTTTAATGATCCAAAGTAAAATACTGGTGGGTTTTGAGCAAGGTAACTCATAGAGGATGATGGGAAATGGAGTTCAAACATTTCTGGAGAGCCATGAGAATCCCACCTATTATGGATCGTATTTGTTGGTTAGTTTGTACCAAGATTGCCCCTCCATGGTTTGATGGATGGGACAAAACATGATCACATATATTTTGTATTCTCCAAATTAAACTTCTGGTGGGTTTTGAGAAGGGTAACTCACAGAGGATGATGGGAACTATAAACATCTAGAGATAATTTTATTTCATAATTTCCTTTAGGAACATTCTCCAAAAAGGAGGGTCCGCCGTTGACGCCACCATCGCAGCCCTACTTTGCACGGGGCTCATGAATTCGCAAAGTAATGGGATCGGTGGAGGGGTCATCTTCACCATCTTCACCACCGATGGTAAGCGGATGTCATTTGTCATGCTGTCACGTACGAGCTCTTATACGATCCCGCACTTACTGTCATTTTCCCATTTGTTTCAGGGAAAGCAGAAGTCATCAACGCCAGAGAAGTGGCCCCCAAAAGAGCATCTCGGGATATGTTTGGAAACAACACACAATTGTCCTTGAAAGGTAAACTCGTAAAAAGATTATTTAAATGTTATTATTTAAAAGTATTTAATTTTTAATTTGATTTAATGTTTTAAAATAATATTTTATGTTTATTTTTTAAATAATATGTTATTTAAATGTGATTGTTTTTAAATTTAATGTTTTAAATTTAGTATTTTTTATTTGATTTAATATTTGTTCCTGTTTATCCTTATTAATTGAAATTTCCCATTAGCGGATAATACTAATCTTCCTGTGTACCTCTATAATACTATGTTTCCTGATAGGTTTATATGTTTGCAAAACTAGATTTGAACTTTAAAATAATATAGGTATTTATTTTTTAAAATGTAAAATTTACAAAGTAAGTTTTTTTAATTAAAAAAATATTTGTATTAGTTTGTCAAATAATATGTTTAAAATATATGGATTCTTTAAATACAATACTTTATTATTTAACATTATTTAAAGGTTATTATTTAATGGTTTTGATGATTTAGTTTAATGTATATATTTTTTAAAAACTTTTAATTTTATTTAGTACTAGCTTGAGTACCCAGCAGTGTCTGGGTTATTTGAAAAAGAAATTGTTTGTTTTGGGGTGTTGGGTAATATCATTTAGTTAGTTAGTAACACTATTTATTAGAAAAAAGCTAGTCTTTTATTTTGTTGTGTATGAATGCTCCCAGTCCCAGCAGAAAATACATAATGATGTGGGTGAACTACAATTCCCAGAATCGTGGGTCAATCCACTCCAAACCATGGCCATGTTGGGAGTTTGTGCCAATGTTGGGAGTCTGTCAGTGGCTGGGTTCAGTGCTCTCTGAATAAGGGCGAACTCCAACTCTCATATGCCAGGGAAAATCACCCCCAAACCATGCCAGAATTTACAGTTGCCATGTTGGTCCAGATCAGACATTGGCTGGATTCAGTGCTCTTTTGATGCAGGTGAACTACAAAGATTCCCAGGACAATCACCTCCAGACACTGCCTGTATTCACAGATGGGTATGCTGGGTCTGTGTGCTCTGGGTGCAGTGTGAACTACAACTCCCATGCGGGTGGATCATTCCCTCCTCAACCTATCTGTTGGCTATCAGGGTTCTGTGTGCCACGTGTGTTCCAGATCCATTGGGGGCTTTGGAATGACCTCTGGGTGCAGGGTAAACTACTACTTCCACGCGGGTAGGTTGATCCCCCCCCCCCAACACCTCCAGTATGTTGAGTTGGTCACCAGGGTCCTGTGTTCGAAGTTTGGTCCAGGTCTGTCACTGGTGGGATTCAGAGTGCTCTGGGTGCAGCGTGAACTACAACTCCCATGCGGGTAGGTCAGTCCTCCCACAAACACATCCAATGTATTCTGTTGGTCACCAGGGTTCTGTGTTCAAAGTGTGGTCCAGACCCGTCATTGATGGGTTCAGCATGTTCTGGGGTGAACTACAATTCCCACACGGATGGGTCAGTTCCCCAAACCCCTCCAGTATGTTCTGTTGGTTATGGAGGTTTTATGTCCCAAGTTTGGTCCAGGTCCATCATTCGTGGGGGTCGCAGTGGACTGTGGAAGTGGGTGAAGATACTGCAGATCCCATCGTCCGTGGTCCATCCTCCCCCAACTCTCACCAGGACCGAAAGTGCATCATAGGGAATCTGTGTGTCAGATTTGGTCTAGGTGCATAATTCATGCAGGTCGCAGTGGTTTCTGGAAATGAGTGAAGATACTCCACTTCCCATCGTCCCTAGTCCATCCTCTCCCAAAACTCACCAGGATGTAAAGTATGTCATGGGGAGTCTGTGTGGCGAGTTTGGTCCAGGCCCATCATTCATGGGAGTCACAGAAGTCTCAGGAAGTGAGTGAAAGTACTGCACATCCCATAATTAGTGGTCCATCCTTCCCCAAACCGCACCAGGATGTAAAGTGGGTCATGGGGGGGTCTGTGTGGCAAGTTTGGTCTAGGCCCGTCATTCATGGGGGTTGCAGTGGTCTGTGGAAGTGGGTGAAATCCCATCATCCGTAGCAAGTGTGGTCCAGATCCATTGTTGGTTGGGTTCACAGTGCTCTCTAGCTGTAGGTGAACCACAACGTATAAATCATGGTGAATTCTTCCCAAACCCCTTGTTCAGTTGCTGATCAATTCCTGTTTGCTGTGTGCCATAGAAAAGGGTAGGAAAGGGTTAAGGGAGCGGTAGTGGGCTGGGTCATGCAAAATCCACAGCAATGGAAAGAGTAAGGAACCCTGGGATGTCCATTCTGGAGGAAAAACAGAACATGTAGGATGAAATTGTCCCTAAACTTGGGTGTCGGGCAGTATGGTTTTGGGGAGGACATTGGCAGGTTTGGACTACATGTTTGCGGCGTCTGCTGTAACCTGTAATGTCCTTGGAGGGAGGGCTTTTGGTGGCTCTTCAGCACTGTGGGTTAAAGCTGTTTGTGGAGGTGGGAGGCTGTCTGTGTAAGTGAACACCTCTGCCACATACACACATACAAATTTTCATTCAATTCAATTTGTCCACATTTTCACTTTTATTATGTGTATAGATTATTGAAATATAATAGCAAAAATAAATCTAATACAAAGTAAGATTTTTGAATTAAAATAATTATTTATTCCATAATGTTTGCAAAGTTAAATAACAGATGTATTTATTTTTAAATGTAACATTTCTAATTTAAGTAATAGTTTTTATTTGTTTAATCTTTTTTTAAAAGCAATTATATGTTTACAAATTAAGATTTGAACTGAAATAATAAGTGTTTTTATTTATTTTTATTAAAATGTAAAATTTGCGAAATAACATTTTGGATTTTGAAGATCATTTTCTTTTTTTAACCTAGTTTAGTGAAATCTCAGTTTGGCAGATAATCAGTTCGTCCTTCTTCAGTGATGTTTTTGATCCCTTACATTCTCCATAAATGTATCTTCTCGATCAAATGATTTAATATTTTTATTTTAATATTTAAACTTAATTTAACGTTTTTAATATTAATATTATTTAATTTTAAAATTTGATGTTGTGGATTTAATTTGATATTTTGTTTTTTTAAATTTGATTTGATATTTCTGTTTAATGTTTCTCAATGAATACGTTTAATTGAATACTTTTAATTTCTATGTAATATTATTTAAATATTACATAAAATTTATGTAATAACTGGTGGCGCAGGGGGTTAAACCACTGAGCTGCTGAACTTGCTGACCAAAAGGTTGGCAGTTCGAATCCGAGGAGCATGGTGAGCTCCTGCTGTTAGTCCCAGCTTCTGCCAACCTAGCAGTTCGCAAACGTGCAAATGTGTGTTGATCAATAGTTACCATTTCAGTGTGAAGGTAACGGCACTTCATGCAGTCATGCTGGCCACATGAACTAGGAGGTGTCTATGGACAATGCCGGTTCCTCGGCTTAGAAATGGAGATGAGCACCACTCCCCAGAGTCAGACATGATTAGACGTCATGTCAAGGGGAAACCTTTACCTTTCTTTTATTATTTAAATATAATAATAAAAAGTAATTTATTCCCAGGAGGGCTATCGGTCGCTGTTCCAGGCGAAATCCGTGGTTACCAAATGGCGCACCAACGTCATGGCAAACTCCCTTGGAAGGAGTTGTTTCTTCCCAGTATCAAACTAGCCAAGGAAGGATTTCCCATTGGGAAAGGACTGGGAGCAGCTCTGGCCTCCCGCAAAATCTCCATCGAAAGCAACCCATCGCTCTGGTGAGTTTGTGGATGATGGGATCCAGACATATCCGTTAATATTCAGTTGTAAAATTGACAAATTCGACAATTAATATTGATCACTTTTGAAACTTATTACAGGCCTCCATCCTGGACCATTATAGGAATTTGGGGGGGGGGGGATGTTTTTAAAAAAATACATTTTGAAAATATAAATGCTAATTTTAAAGATATCTTTTGGAAAAAATAAATCAACGTTTAATAAGTAATTTTGAAATCATTTAAAATGCTTAGCAAATGTTTGAAAATTTTATTCCTTTAGAAACATTTTGAAAAAAGTCAATGTGTTCAGAGGTTTTTTTAAAAAAATTAAAATCAGGAAATCATTCAAAATTCAAATTGTATACAAAAATTTTTGAAAAAGTCAATGTGTTTTGTATGTTTTTCAAAAATTTCTTAAAAGGAAATGGTTCAAAATTGAGGGGAAAATGAATTATAAAAAAACTTATGAAATTGATAAATTTAATTTTTAGAAAAGTTTTGGAAAATTCCATTTTAATTTAGGGGAGAAATTTGATTAATTTGATTAAAATTGAAAAATTCAAAATTTTTCAAAAATGCTTGAAAAGGTTTAGGAACATACAATTTTTTTTAAAAAATGCATTTTTTTTACACAAAATTACAAAATTGCTCTCTGTTCTGGAGAAAAGAAGCATAACTGACTATTCTCTTCCTCCTCTTCTGTTTTCCAGTGAAGTTTTCTGCAAAGAAGGGAAAGTCCTTCGGGAAAACGAGATCCTCAAGTTTCCCAAATTAGCTGTGACTTATGAGACTCTTGCCAACGAGGGACCAGATGCCTTTTACACAGGAAGTTTAGCCAAACAAATTGTTTCGGATGTCCAAGAAGCAGGTGAGTGAAGAGGGAGGATAGGTTCTTGCAAAGGCAGCAGCGACAAATTATGGAACTTTCTGGAACCTTCCAGAACCTTCCAGGACCTCATCTTTTTGGTCTTTTGATTTCAGGAGGGATCCTTTCCCTGGAAGATCTGAGGGACTACCAAGTACTTCTGGATGAAAACCCATTGAACATTACTCTCGGGGAGTTCACCATGTTTACCCCTGGAGCCCCATTGAGCGGAGCCGTCTTGGCCTTGATCCTCAACATCTTAAAAGGTAACTCCAGACTTTGTGTCCAAGAAATTCCTCCTATTTTTAACCAAGAAAGCCTTTTTGTGTTTCTAGCTGAGAAAATCCATTTGTTTTTTATCCAAGGAGGAAATATTTGTTTTTATAGAAGAAAACATATCTTTATTTTCATTGTGAAAATATATGAGAAAATATCCCACCTTTTTTCTATGAGAAAATATTTCTCTTTCTTTTTATTCAAGGGAAATACCTTGCTCCTCATTGCAAATGCAATTCCTGTTGCCATTAATGAAACTAATCGATTATTTTTTTCCTCATCGGGATACAATTTCACTCCCAATGACATTTTTATACAAAAAAGTATCATTGTGTTTATATGAGAAAGTCATTCTGTTTTTATACAAGAAAATGTCTCTCATTTTTATCCAAGAAAATGTCTTGTTTTTATCTGAGAAAATATTAGTTTTTATATGAGAAAATATCTCTGATTTTCATCCATGTTTGTTAGTCCATTTTTATATCCAAAAAATAATCTTTATGCTTATATGAGAAAGTCATTCTGTTTTTATCCAAGAAAATATTTATCATTTTTAACCATGTTTGTTAGTCTGTTTATATTCAAAAAAATATTTGTATTTATAGAAGAAAGATATTTCCTAATTGGAAACACCTTTCCTGATGCCGTTAATCTTTTCTGTCATCAGGATACAATTTCACTTCTGATGCTGTGGCAACCCTGGAGGCGAAGGGCCTGACCTCCCACCAGATCTTGGAGGCCTTCCGCTTTGCTTTTGCCAAGAGGACCCTCCTGGGAGACCCCCGCTTTGTTGACGTCACCGGGGTTCGTTTTGGAAAACGGTGTAATTATTATTATTATTAGCAATAACTTCAAAATAAAAATTACTGTATCTCTTGTAAATCCAGGTGACACAGAACATGACCTCGGAATTGTTTGCGGAGAGCCTACGGGTCAAAATCACCAACGTCACACACAATATCAGCTACTACGAGCCGGAATACTACATGCCAGAAAACGCTGGTACCTCTCATGTCTCCGTCACAGCCGCTGATGGCAGCGCCGTATCCGCCACCAGCACAATCAACCAATAGTATGCGCTCTGGGTTCTAGTCCGAACTTTCATCTTAAAGTTCAGATTAGAACCCAAAACGGATTTGATACATGTTATAATGACATGTAGGTATTGAATCCATTCTGGGTTCTGGTCCAGACTTTACATTTAATTACTGTGTTGAGATAATATGCCTCCCAATATAAGAATATGTTGTTATTATTTCTGTATCTGTAGGACACATTATATCCCAATGGAGAATTGGCATAATATGCATTGACTCCATTCCGGATTCTAGTTCTAAGTTTGTGCTTAATATATTTCCTTCTTTGGGGATAATATGTATTGAATTTGTGTATTTCCCCATTTTGGGATATGTCTTGCATCCGGACCTGGTTTTAGTATTGGCTTCCTGTTTATTGGCATAATATATATTGAACCCTATCTGAGTTCTAGTGTGAACTTTAAGCTTCCTTACTGTGCCTTCCTATATTGGGATGACATACTTCTCGAATCCACTTCAGGTTCTAGTCTGAACTTCAAGCTGACTGTGTCTCCTCATTTTAACATAATAAATCTCAAATCTCTTCCGGGTTCTAGTCCAAAATTTACGCTGTTTATTTCCCTATCTATCTATCTATCTATCTATCTATCTATCTATCTATCTATCTATCTATATCTTAAATTCACTGCAAGTTCTAGTCCAAACTCTAAAGCTTACTTACTATATCTTCCTATATTGGGGAGATATAGTAAGTAGTTTCTCGTCCTACTAGTCCAAGACAATGTAGACTGAAACCCATAATGGATATCATACTATACAATCTTACCGTCATTGTCTTGTTTTTTCCCCTTCTTCTAGTTTTGGCTCTGAGGTCCGTTCCAATGTGAGCGGGATCATCTTTAACGATGAGATGGATGACTTCAGCTCCCCATACCTTGTCAATGGTTTTGGGGTGTCCCCCTCTGTCGCCAACTTCATCTCCCCAGGTAAACACCAAGGATGGGAGATGTAGTCCAACCCTGATTTCACAGAACAAATAAGAACAATATGAGGGACGTCTGTTCCTGAAACGAGTCCGAACTCCCTATTCTCTCTCCCTCTTAGGGAAGCGTCCATTTTCCTCGATGTGTCCGACCATATTGGTGGACAAGGAAAACCAGGTCAAGATGGTGGTTGGCGCCTCCGGAGGTACTAAAATCACCACCGCCACTGCATTGGTGAGTCTTCCAAAAGCAGGTCGGACTGAAAAGCAGGACAGATGACAGGGACGAGGGATCAATTTGCGACTTCTTTTCTCGTTATTTCAAGGCGATCATGAACTCGTTATGGTTGGGATACGACGTGAAGGGCGCTGTGGAAGAACCCCGTTTTCACAACCAACTCTTGCCGCCAGTCACTGTCTTGGAGGAAGTGGTGTCAAAGGTCAGGATGCAACTCCTGTTCGTGGAAAAGTCATTTTCCCGTGTCCCATAACACAACATAACACAAAACCGTAGTTCCCATGAATATGAGTCTAATCATAATTTGTCTGTCATTGCTGTGTCCCCCCCCCCCCCATTAATTGATTAATTTCCTTCCTTTCTCATTAATTAGGGTCTGGAAGACGAGCTAAGGAAAAGGAAACACGAAATCACCCGAACTCAACGCGGAGCGGTGGTGCAGGCCATCTTGCGGACGAAACATGGGTGGGCCGCAGCCTCGGATTCCCGGAAAGGCGGATACCCAGCAGGATATTAATTAATATTTCACCTCATTTGCATAATTTGTCATATTGGAAATTACTATCGGACAAGCGTGCTCAGCAGCAAATGTGAGCGACCGTCTGTTATCCTCGAATTTCCCAGAAAGAGGAGCAACTATTCATAGTAACCCATCCTCCAACTCATAGGCATATAATCAGCATTCCATTTTTTATGAGTCCTATTGGAATTTACTTTCGGACTCATAAGTGTTACTTAATGACAAGTGCGAACGATGATCTCTCACCCCCAAAACCCAAATGGGACCCTCGTTTTACATCTCATTTGCATATAATGAATGCACCGTTTTTTTTACGACTTGTGTGGGAAATTGATTTTGGACTCATAAATAATTAGCATACTTCATGGTGAATGCGGGCGATCACCTCAAATTTTTATTCCTCATTTTGCATCCATTTGCATATAAACAATGTATGCATCTAATTTGCATATAATCCATATGCTATATTTTTGCGAGTCTTATTGGAAATTGATTTCAGACTCACAAGGTAGAAATACCCATATTATCCGAAAACTCTGATATCCAATTACAATTTTATAATGCCGTTATAAAAATTATAATTGCGATGCATTTATTAAAATTTAAGCAAGAAACTGGGCTCTAGGACAGAAATAGAGTTTGTGTATATATTATAGATATATAGATAATTCTCTTACAGACAGCATATATATATATATCTATTTTTTCAATTGGTAAAAATCACATTATTCCAGGTATTAAGTGGTTGCTCATTTACATAACATAAAAATGCAACACAACACAAGAAAACATTGCTTACTATAGACTTCACAGTGTGGCAACTCCCGAAACAATTCCTAGCTAGAAAAAGCAAACTACACATCCCAAGGCTGCTATAATATTATTGAGGAGCTACAGAGTACATTTTCTCAGCATATCCCCACCACAACTATAAATTCCAAGCTCACCTTTAAAGGGCTGTTCTGTTCTAGTCTCATCAAACTACAAATCCCATAGTGCCATCAAGTCAGGTCTAATTTTGCAAAACTCTGAGTTACAAGATAAGACATATTCACTCTGGTCTGTTCCCTTTAAGGCATAGCCATGCTACAAGTTTGCCGTACTACAAATCTGCTCTGGTCTATTCCTGTATGCCTTTAAGGCATACATCCACTCTCATGTATTCCCATCCAAACTACACATCCCATGGTCCATTTAAGGCACGATTTCTGGCTAATTTTACCAAAATACAAATCCCAAAATAAGACATATCCACTCTCATGTATTCCCATACGAACTACAAATCCTATCGTTCCTTTTTAAAGAAAGCACAGGTCCGAACTACAAATCCCATAGGACAATAAAAGCCATAATTGTCTCTCTTTCTGTCAATCTATATCTATATATATTTCAAAATAGAGGTAATTGTCTGCATTTGGTAATTGCTTTGGCACCGCTCGCATTCTTCACATGCAAATTTTCAGGATTTGAGGTTCAAAAATAATAATTAATCATAATAACAACAAAATCTCAGTATCCAGAAGCTTCTCCATTCTTCCTGAGGTCTGAATAGGGGAAAAGGCAAGACCCGTCCTTGGAAATGCCTTGAACGACATTCAGCATGAATTTATTTACTTCGATGGTATGGCCCTTGTCACGTAGGAAAGCAATGGTTTCCTATGGGGAAAATAATCAGAAAATAAGGGGGGGACAGCATTATTATGAAGGATGTAATGTGCTTATCTTATTTGCATATTTTTTCATTTCCCTGTCCTAATAAGGGCTCACTTGGTTAAAGTTTGGCTTTACTTTGATGGGAAAAATAAGGAAAAAAAATAGAAATTCAATTCAATTAGAATGAAATGAAATTTAAAATTAAATTAAAAGTAAATTAAATTAAAGTTCAAATGAAATAGAAATAAATTAAAATTAAATTAAAGTTCAAACGAAATAGAAATAAATTAAAATTAAATTCTAGTTAAAATGAAACCAAAATGAAATTAAAATTAATTACATTACAATAAAATTAAAAGAAAAAATTACATATTTGATTTGCATACTTTTTCTATAAATTTCCTCATCCTGATCAAGGGCTCTCCTGGTCAAAATTCAGCTCCACTTTGATTGGGGGGAAAAGCAAAGATTTTGGAGGGAAGGGACGTTTTCATATCTCATGTGCATATTTTTTGCATACATTTCCCATCCTAATTATGGCTTACCTTATCAAAATTTGACTCCACTTTGATGGAATTATTCTTGTTGGCATAAAGGATTGGTGCCTCAATCGCAGCATCCAAATTGTACCCCAACCATAACTTGTTCGCAATGGCCTAAAAACAAAAACAAAAAATCAGAATCAATTAATCAATAATCAATCAATACAATCAGATTTCAGATTATTATTTTTTAAGCATTTCCATTTTAGGACTGTGAGCAGTTTCAGACTTTACACTTGAGGGTTTTAAATTTGGAGCAATTTGGATTTCGGGGAATTTTGGATTTCTGAATTTGGAAAATTTCCGATTTTGGGATTTTCGCGCATTCAAGATTTGAAATTTGGGGATATTTTGGCTTTTGGAGCATTTCAGATTTCGGAGGATTATACATTCTCGATTTCGGATCATTTCACAATATCTTTGAATATTTCAGATTTTGGAGAATTTTGGATTTTGGAACATTTCAGATCTTGGATTTCTCAATGCTCAATCCATCTTGATTGTTACGGTTGTTGGATAATATATTTTGATGGAGAAGGATATGAACTGAATTTAATTCAGTTAACAGATTGATAGAATTTGTTAATTTACCTGGGCAACAGCGGGAATAATTAGCGTCCCTCCTGATCCACCAATAATCAACTTTGCCTTTTGGTCTTTGGAAAGAAGAATTGAAGGAACCATCGATGAAGGAGGCATCTCGTCTGGATTGGGAAAAGAAAGAGCCCCAAAAATAAGAATAAAAATTTAAAAAAATCAAATTATGAAAAGGAATTTCGAGAAATTAAATCTGAATATTTTTTTGGTCCAAATAATTGAGAGCCATTCCCTCAACTGACACTTCAGCTAAATTGCATGTATTCAACAAATGCAATTTTCTGGTAAAAAAAACCCAAAAAAACAAAACACACACACACACACAAGGTAATTTAAATTTAATTTAAACTATAATTACATCAAAATTAATTATAATGCCATTAAAATTGACTATAATTCCATTACAGTTAACTATAATTCCATTAAATTATAATTCCATTAAAATGAATTAAAATTCAACTAAAATTAATTATTCAATTAACATGAATTATAATTCAATTAACATTAATTATTATTCCATTAAAATAAAATAAATTAAATTAAAATTAAAATTAAGTTAAAATTTGAGTAAAGTAAAATATAGTATACCGTAATTTAATTGTAATTACCAGGAAAGATTTTTCGCTCTGATTGCTTCATGCAAAAGTCCGCCATTTCATTGTTGAGGATGATTCCCGTCTGCTCTGAATAAACCATCGAACCGAAGCTATGAATATGAGAAAAATGGGGTCATCGATATGCAAATTTATGCAAATGAGGTAGTGGGTAGAGAGGAGTCTGACCTCCAAGGTTAGGGGTCAGTCATTAGGCGTTCTTTCATCCACTGATTCCTGCATTCATTAATTCATATATTTATTAATTCAGACATCAGTTAATTAACATATCTATTAATTCACCCATTCATTAATTCATTCATCTTCAGTGCATGCCCTGCAAATCATGAATGTACTAATCATGCACCCCTAATTATTCTGTAATTCATGAATCCACTAATCATTTCACTCAATAATTTTTTTAAAATATTAAATTTGTTCATTAATCCATCCCATAATTCACACATTTATTAATTAATGCATTAATTAATTCACAGACTTATTAATTCATTAATTAACACATTCATTAATTTATACATCCATTAATTCAAGCGTTTATTCATGTAAAAATTAATACATCCATTAATTCATTCATTCATTAATTCATCCATCCATTAATTCATCCATCCCTTAATCCATATATTGATGCATTCTTGAATTCCTCCATTAATTAATTAATTCACACATATTTAATTCACACATTCATTAATTTATACATCCATTAATTCAAGTATCTATTTACGTATCTATTAATTCATACATTCGTGAATTCCTACATTCATTAAGTCACACATCCTTTAATTCATACATCCATTCATTCATATAGTTATTAACTCATCCATTAATTAATTCATACATCCACTCATTCATACAGCCATAAATTCATATATCTGCTAAATGAAGCATCCATTCATTAATTCATTCATGCATGTATTCATTCATCTACTCATTCATATATCCTTGAATTCATACATCCATCAGTTCAAATATTTATTTATGTATTAATTCATTCATACATTTGCTAGAATCATAGAGTTGGAAGGGAGACACCATGTGATCCCTCCTGACAGATGACCATCCATTAATTAACATATCAACCAACTCATGTGTTGATTAATGATATAAAGTCACACATCTTCTTGTCCCTTACTTCCCACCTTAATGATTGATGCATTGGCTGATGAACATATCCACTAGTGAACTCACGGGTGGTTGATGGTGCTGGTGGCAGAGGCAGCATTCCCCTCTTGGTCGACGGCGGCCACATGGGATGTCCCAAAGGGCCCCGATCCGGTCAAGTTCACATTATCATAATGTCCCAAAGGATGGTCTCCTCGTGAGTCGATCCGTTTCCGGACCTTATTAGCAAACCGGTCCGAAATCAATTCCCTCAACTCTTCCTGCAGGAGAAAAATCCAGAATAAATGCAAATATGTATGTATGTTTGTTGGTTTGTACCCCAAAAACCCCTATGTGGCATGAATGAATAGGGATGAACATGTGTCAGATATATTTGTTATTCTCCAACTTAAATTTAGTAGGGTCTTTCAAGTTTGAAACCCACCCCATTTTAGAGCTAGAGCCCTATAAACCCAATACATAGGTAAGTCCGTTTGTTGGTTTGTACTCCAAAAACTCCTACGTGGCATAACTTGATTGGGTCCAAAATGTGTCAGATATATCCATTATTCTACAACTTAAATTTAGCGGATGTTTTCAAATACAAAACCCACCCTGTTTTGGAGCAAATGCCCAAAGAGTGAAAACTGGGATCAGAAAGGATTAGCTGTAGTGCTCAGATACAGCCACAAGAGGGCCAAATATAGATAGAAAGGATTAGCTGCTTGCTCATATATCATAGAATCATAGAGTTGGAAGAGACCTCATGGGCCATCCAGTCCAACTCCCTGCCAAGAAGCAGAAAAATCGAGTTCAAAGCACCCCCAACAGATGGCCAACCAGCCTCTGTTTAAAAGCTTCCATAGAAAGAGCCTCCACCACACTTCGGGGTAGAGAGTTCTACTGCTGAACAGTTCTCACAGTCAGAAAGTTTTTCTTAATGTTCAGGTGGAATATCCTTTCTTGTAGTTTGAAGCCATTGCTCCTCGTCCTAGTCTCCAGGGCAGCAGAAAACAAGTTTGCTCCCTCCTTACTCGTACAAGTTTAAATGTCCATGCTGCTAGCTGTGAAAGAGTTAATCTTTGGAACATTATGAAGCATGTGTAGAACAGACAAGGAAGGTGTTGCAACAGACTAGGAGGCTTGACACTGAATTAATAAGCTGATAACAGTGGGGTATAAACATAGCAGAAGCAATTTGTTCTTTCTCTTCTCTCTTGCATCATGAATGTGCAAACAAGTGTTTTTGCAATGAATAAAATGTAAATAAAGGTAAGAGCCACTGTTGAAGCAGAAACAACTGTCTGAAGTTGGTTAAATGGATGATAAGAAGCAAGTTGGCCAGCAAATTGCATTGATATCATAGGGATGTTTGTCAATTATATACACAAACCTCTCCAATTTTGGAAAATTGTGGATCGTCCAGTTTCACTTTTTGTCCGTTGGCGAACTTCAGGGCCTCCGCAATGTAATGGTAGGCCTCAGCTTTCTTAGTGTCTTTGGTGAAATTAAACTCTTAAAAATTAAAATAAAAATATATATATTAAAATTTAAAAATATTAAAATTCAAAAATATTTAAATTCAAATTAGGAACCATTAAAACTAAAATGTCAAATATTATTGTCATTAAAATTAATTTAAAATATTATAACATTACATTAAAAAGGACATGATAGAATAATTAAAAAAAATACAAATGGCCAATGATTAAAATAGTAAATAATAACATTAAATTTGAAAATGCTACAATTTAAAAGTATGAAGTTTGAACATTTAAAAACATTAAAATAAATAAAATATTACATAAAATATTAAAATAAATAAATAATATTAATAGCATTTGCACTCATTACCTTTGAGGATGTTGAGGATGAAGAACAAAACTGGACCAGCAGCAGGTCGAGGGGCAGAATAAATGGAATATTCCTTCAATTCGGACTTTATGGCGTCTCGTACGCTCACTTTGTAACTCCGGAGGTCCTCCAGGGTCAAGTTGCCACCTCAAAATAAGAAAAAATAGTCAAAAAATTGCAAAATTATATCAAAACAGAAACGACTGTCTAGACTGACCCCTTTGAAATATGAGTTTAGAGTCCTAAGTCTCTTTGGGCAGGGCTCAGTATCTCATGGGACCCATAAAATCGGCCGGGGGAGGGGGGGACTGGCAGGGTGGGTGAAGGTGCTGATGAATGCCTCCTTGACTCCAGGCATAATGCAAAGTATTTTCAAGGAGGCAATAGTACGACCTCTTTTGAAGAAACCGGCACTGGATTCTGACCAACTTAACTACAATAGCCCAGTGTCAAACCTTCCCTTTATGGGCAAAGTTCTGGAGAAGGTGGTGGCCTCACAACTCCAAAGGTTCTTGGATGACACCGATTTTCTGGATCCATCTCAGTCTGGTTTCAGGCCTGGCTATGGGACATAGACAGCATTGGTCACCTTGTTGGATGATCAATGAAGAGAGCTAGATAGGGGGAGTGTATCCCTGCTGGTCCCCCTGGACCTCTCGGCAGCTTTTGATACCATCGACCATGGTAACCCCCTCTCTCCAGGATGGGACTTGGGAGCACTGTTCAGACCCAGAAGGTGGAGCTGGGGGACTCCTGCTCATGTCCCTGGCCTATGGCCTGTGGGATCCCTCAGGGTTCAATTCTGTCCCCCATGCTGTTTAACGTTTACATGAAACCACTGAGAGAAATCATTAAGAATTTTGAAGTTCAGTGTCAAATTTATGCAGACTACACCCAACTCTATTACTCCTTTCCACCTAATACTAAGGATGCCGTCCAGCCCCTAAACCAGTGCTTGTCATCAGCAATGGACTGGAGGAGGGCTAAGAAGTTGAAACTAAATCCAGACAAGACAGATATTCCTAGTCAGTTGGAAGGCAGATCAGGGTGGGGTTACAACCTGTGTTGGATGGGGTTGCACTGTCCCTGAAAATACAGGTTCACAGTCTGGGGGTGCTCTTGGACTCATAGCTGACCCTGGAGTCCCAGGTGTTGGCAGTGGCCAGGACTCCCTTTCAACAATTAAAAGTGGTGCGACAGCTGCGCCCATGCCTTGAGACTCCAGATCTGGCCATGTAGTCCACGCCTTTGTCACATCCTGTTTGGACTACTGCAACACTCTGTATGTGGGGGTGCCATTGAAGATAGTTTGGAAGCTTCAACTGGTTCAGAGATCGGCAGCCAGATTACTAACTGGAGTGTCATACAGGAAGAGATCCACTCCCATATTGTGGCAGCTCCACTGGCTGCCGGTCTGCTTCTGGGCTAAATACAAAGTCCTTTAAAGCCCTAAATGGCTCGGGTTCAAGCTACTTGACCGAATGCATCTCCTCTTACAAACCAGTTCGGGCACTGTGGTCAGCAGAAGAGGCCCTGCTCTTGATCCCACCCTTATCCCAATTACGGCTGGTGGGAATGTGAGAGAGGCCCTTCTCTGTGGTCATCCCCACCTCTGGAACTCCTTCCCTAAAGAAATAAAGCTGTCCCCTCTCTCCTCTCCTTCAAAAAACAACTAAAGGCCTTATGCTCACTAGCATATGGAGAGGAGTAGGATTTGATAACAAGAGATTATCAAATCTTGGTTGATTTGGCCTCTCCTAGTCCACGCCAGCCCAATGACCTTCGTTTGACTACACAACCAACCCACACTGTTTTGTGAACTCTAGATGGCTGTTGTAAATTAATGTGGATGTTTGTTTAGATTTTATGTTATTACATAATTTTGTTTGACTAATTAATTTATTGATGTTAAGTTTAATTTACTGATGTTAGGTTTAATTTACTGATGTTAGGCTTTAATTTTATGTTAGGTTTTAATGTTATTTTCATATGTGGGGTTGCTCTGGGATTTGATGTCAGTATTTGTTTTACGAAGGCACTGAATGCTTGTTATGTTGGAATCCGCCCTGAGTCCCCTTGGGGAGATAGGGCGGAATACAAGTAAAGTTTTTATTATTTATTTATTTATTTGCACCCTTTAAAAATCTGAATGTGCCTATTTAAACAGGGAAAAATAAAATGAGGAGGATGCTTTGACAGTTCCACACCAAGTTTTTTTTCAAAATCTGAGCCTGTTCCTTTGGAGAGGCCTAGACATCCCTTTGGGGATGAGCAAATATCCCTTTAGATCCATTTGCTGATTTAATAGGGGAGAAACAAAAACAAGGAGGAAGATGACACGGTTCGGCGCCGGTTTTGTAACAACTTCTGCATTTTTAGCCTAAAAATATGGAGCCCCTGGTAGCACAGTGGGTTAAACCTTGTGATGGCAGGACTGAAGACCAACAGGTTGGAAATTCAAATCCGGGGAGAGCGCGGATGAGCTCCCTCTGTTAGCTCCAGGTCCCAGGTGGGGACATGAGAGAAGCCTCCCACAAGGATGGCAAAACATCAAAACATCCAGGCGTCCCCTAGGCAACGTCCTTGCAGACGGCCAATTCTCTCACACCAGAAATGACTTGCTGGGTTTTTTTACCAGTTTTTTTAAAAAGTAGGATTCACCTTCTTTCTGAACATCCTGAACCATCTTCTTCGCAATTTCCCCTGAATAAAATTCGTCGGTTCCATTTTCGGCCACCACTTGAAGCGTCCGCATTAAAGAAGGCCACCAAAGAAGGTCTCCAGACCTCAGAAAGTTTCCGCTTTTATTAGTGAAGAGTTTCCTTTAATTAGAATTTGAAAAAATTAAAAGATGTGTAAATGAGGAGCAAAAAACACAAAATGAGGAGGAGGATGAGACAGTTCCATGCTGAGTTTTGGTATATATATATATATATATATATATATATATATATATAAATTTTACCGTAAAGATGAGTGTTTCAAAGCATGACGCAATTTTGGGTGGATCAAGAACCGGTTCAGGATGTCTGAGATCTGGGTTCCAGAGCGAAGGATCTGGATTGTGGGTTCAAATAGTTCCTTCCAAGGGAGTTTCCCATAGAGCCGGTGGGCTTCTTGATATCCTCTGAGTTCCCCAGGAACAGCGATCCATTGAGGCCCTGAGACATGTCATAAGCATAACAATAATAATAATATAATATAGCAAGATAATAATATAGTAAAATAATAATAAAAATGATACGGTATAATAATACATAATAATATAGTAAGATAATAATATTAATAAAATAATAATATAATATAGTAAAATAAAAATAACACAATAAAATGATACATAATATAATGTAGTAAGATAATAATAATAAAATACAGTATAATAATAATAATAATAATAATAATTATTATTATTATTATTATTATTTTGCTATAACAATATATGGAATCTGCTCCAGATTTTAGTCTGAACTTTAATAGCAACAAAAACTATTGGTGCCAATATATCCATCTATCAATATCTCTATCTCTCTGCCAATCTGTTCCGGATTTTAGTCTGAAGTGCATGTGATTAATATTAATTAATGCTAATAATATAGTAAGATAATAATATTAATAAAATAATAATATAATATAGTAAAATAAAAATAACACAATAAAATGATACATAATATAATGTAGTAAGATAATAATAATAAAATACAGTATAATAATAATAATAATAATAATAATTATTATTATTATTATTATTATTATTATTATTATTTTGCTATAACAATATATGGAATCTGCTCCAGATTTTAGTCTGAACTTTAATAGCAACAAAAACTATTGGTGCCAATATATCCATCTATCAATATCTCTATCTATCTGCCAATCTGTTCCGGATTTTAGTCAGAAGTGCATGTGATTAATATTAATTAATGCTAATTAATTAATTACCTTGTAATAGCCCCTCCTGGCATTGTTTTAATAAATCCTCGCTGAAATGCTGGGGCGCACGCTCCCGAGCATTGATCACCTTCACGTCTCCTGGAAGACAATAATTAATATTAAATAATTAGTATTATATTAATTAGCACTAATATTCACTTTGTTATTCATTCACACACACACACACATCCACTCTTTATATTTTGCTACATTAATATTATAGTGAATACACACACACACACACACATGTATATAGGCCTAAAGGTGTATCTGCCTCAGTTTCTAGACTGAACTTTTTATTCTGTTTTTATAATTCCTATTATTATTATTATTATTATTGTCTCTTTTTCTCTTTCTTGGGGTCAGGCCAGGTGATGCCAGGTGACCCCATTTTGTTATCGCTTTCATCCAGGTCAGCTCTTTCTTCTTCTATGATTATGATGATGATTATTATTACTATTATATGCTATGTTACTACATTATTATTACTTTATTATATATTATTGGCTACTATTATTATTTTCTATTCATAAGACTATTAATATTGTTTTCTATGAATACTATTAGTTTTATTTTCAATTAATATTATTAGTAGTAGTAATAGTAGTATTGTGCTGTCGCACCCAAGCTGCTTTAAATATCTCTTTAGCAGTAATGTGTCCTAACTTTCTGTCAGCTTGGGGGATGCTGGATTGCCTTCCTGTTTGAGCAAGGAACCCCACAGATCCAATGTCCATGCTATTGCTTTCACAAAATGGTAACCATTTATTAACTGGTCTTGGGTCTATCTCCACCCAGGCACTAACTTATTTTCTGAGGAGAATGAAGAGGGTGATGATGGTGGCATCCTTGAAATCTGTTGGGATTTTCTCGGTCACCCACACCTTTTCTATGAACTGGTGGAGTTGTTGTATCAGCTCAGGTTCACCGCCCCCCTTAAAGATTTCAGCAGGGATCCCATCAAGTCCACAGGCTTTGTTATTTTTTGTAGGCTGATGGCATTGCTGACCAAACTAGGCAGTGCTGCAAGCTCATCCCTGGTTTGTTGTTGCGGGATTTGTGAGACCATGTTGGAGCTGCGATTCGGGAGGCTTTGATAGTGTTCTTTCCAACATAGTGCAATTGATTTTTTGTCCTTCAGAAGTTTGGTTCCATCTGATGAGCAGAGAGGCTGTATGCCATGGTTTCTTGGTCCATAGATGACCTTTGTGGCTTTGAAATATCCCTGAGCATCATGGGTATCTGCCAAGTGTTGGATTTCTTTAGCCTTCTTTGTCCACCAGATGTTCTTGAGTTCTCTTGTCCTTCTTTGGACCTCAGCTTTTGCACTGGCATAGATCTTTTTCTTAGCAGCACAGTTGATGTCTCTCTGCCATGTTTGGAAAACTTTCCTTTTCTTGCCAATTAGCTGTTGGATCTCGTTGTCATTTTCGTCAAACCAATCTTGATGTTTCTTGGTTTGATATCCAATAGTTTCTTTGCAGGCTGTGATGATGGAGGTCTTCAGTTTGTTCCAATGTTCCTCAACATTTTCGGGGTGTTCTGTGGGTAGATGGTCATTGAGTGCTGTTTGGACAAGGGCTTATCTGTAGGGCTCCTGAAGAGCTTGGGTGTTCATTTTGCACCTTGTCTTTCTTCCTTGGAGTCTGCGCTTGGGGGTGATCTTGATAGCCATCGTGGATCGGATTAGCCTGTGGTCTGTCCAGCAGTCATCAGCACCTGTCATGGCTCTTGTGAGAAGGACATCATGGTGGTCTGTGGCCCATGTGATTACATAGTCTAAGAGGTGCCAATGCTTTGACCGGGGGTGCTTCCGTGATGTCTTGAACTTGTTTTTCTGGCGGAAGAGCGTGTTGGTGATAGCAAGGTTGTGTTCCGCACATTTGGTGAGAAGCAGGATGCCATTCGAGTTGCTGTTTCCAACCCCGTCTTTTCCTATCATCCCTGGCCACAGGTTGAAGTCTCGCCTGACTCTTGCATTCAAGTCCCCCAGGAGGATGATTTTGTCCTCCTTAGGTATCCTCCCCGGTAGGACGGTGTCCAACTGACAATAAAAAAAATTCCTTGATGTCTTCATCAGCATCTAGTGTTGGTGCATAGGCACTTATGATGGTTGCCTGTTGGTTTTTGGCAAGTTCAGTTTGGAGGGTTGAAAGTTGTTAGTTGATGCCAGTGGGTGCTTCAGTCAGATGCTTCACCAGATCATTTCTGATAGCAAAGCCAACTCCATGCATTATTCGGTCTTCTTCAGGCAGTCCCTTCCAGAAGAAGGTGTAGCCTCCTTTTTCTTCCTTCAGCTGTCCCTCTCCTGCTTTTCGGGTCCCCTGAAGTGCTGCTATGTCAATGTTAAAGCATCCCAGCTCCCTTGCAATGATGGCAGTTCAGCGTTCAGGGTGTTTATTGTCAGTGTTGTCCATCAGTGTCCGTACGTTCCATGTTCCAAGTTCATTTTTCTTTTTTGGCTGCAGGGTGGTGACCCCATTGGACGCGGCAGTCCAGTCAGGGGTAAGAGAAGCAAACTATGTTTAGGGCATCTTTTCTAGCCCCTTCCCCGTGTGGGGTGAGCAGAGTGGATCCTCAAAAGGGCTGCTCAGTCATGGATACAGCTAATGTCTATTAATGACATTATTATTCTTTTCTATTATTATCATCTTCCCTATCCTGGGACTACATATCCCTATTTATATTATATGAAAAATATATAATATTACTTATTATTATTATTATATTAATGATGCTATTACTATTATTATTATCATCATCTTTCCTATCCCAGAACTACATATCCCTCTACACACATACACACACACACACACAATATTTTATTATGTATTATTTTCTAATAATTATACTACTATTATTGTTTTTTATTATTATTAGTATTATTATCTTCCTTATCCTGGGACTATATATTCCTATATATATTGATATGCTTGAAGCATTATTGATACAATGGTAATCATCCCTGAACCAGTTTAGAGGAGAATCCAGAGTGGATGCAGTGCAGTGGGATGGGGGTTGGCCTACCTTTCTGGGCATCATAAATGGTGAAGATGACCCCTCCACCAAGGCCCATGCTTTGCGGGTTCAAGACCGAAGTGCAGACCAAAGACCCAATGACTCCGTCCACCGCTGACCCTCCAGCTTTCAGCAAATCTCTGGGAAATAATAATAATAATAATAATAATAATAATAATAGATAGATAATAAAATTAAAAAGTAATAGAAAATAATACTATTGATACTAGAAAATGACATAATATAAGAATAGAAAATAATATTAAAGAAAATAATACTAGAAAATAATAATTATTTATTTACGATATTTCTATCCCTCCTTTCTTGAACCGGAATGTGATTCATGGTGGCTTACAACCAGGCAGCAATTCGATGCCTAACAATATACAATTAACAAATTAAAATTTTCTAATACTAGAAAATAATTACGGTACATAATATAATATAATAATACTAGAAAATAATAATAGAATAGTACTATAATATAAAATAATAATAATAGAAAATAATACTATTAATACTAGAAAATAATAACATAACATAATATAATAATAGAAAATAATAATGATAATATAATAACACTTGGTCATAGATTAATATAATAATAATAATAATAATAATAATAATAATAATAATAATAATAATAATAGAAAATAACATTGTTAATACTAGAAAATAATGTGTTGTGTGGCATCGAATGGTTGCCATCCCTGTTGTGAGCTGCCCCGAGTCCACAGCTCACAAGATGGGGAGATGGGTTGTTGTTGTTCATTCGTTCAGTCGTCTCCGACTCTTCGTGACCTCATGGACCAGCCCACGCCAGAGCTCCCTGTCGGCCGTTACCACCCCCAGCTCCCTCAAGGTCAGTCCAGTCACTTCAAGGATGCCATCCATCCATCTTGCCCTTGGTCGGCCCCTCTTCCTTTTGCCTTCCACTTTCCCCCGCATAATTGTCTTCTCTAGGCTTTCCTGTCTCCTCATGATGTGGCCAAAGTACTTCAACTTTGTCTCTAGTATCTTTCCCTCCAGTGAGCAGTCGGGCTTTATTTCCTGGAGGATGGACTGGTTGGATCTTCTCGCAGTCCAAGGCACTCTCAGAACTTTCCTCCAGCACCACAGTTCAAAAGCATCTATCTTCCTTCGCTCAGCCTTCCCTAAGGTCCAGCTCTCACATCCGTAGGTTACTACAGGGAATACCATGGCTTTGACTAGGCGGATCTTTGTTGCCAGTGTGATGTCTCTACTCTTCACTATTTTATCGAGACTGGACATTGCTCTCCTCCCAAGAAGTAAGCGTCTTCTGATTTCCTGGCTACAGTCTGCATCTGCAGTAATCTTTGCCCCTAGAAATACAAAGTCTGTGGGACAGGATACAAATAAAGTTTGATTATGATGATGACGATGATAGGTATGATATGCTCACTCCTGGATGTTCCCGTAACCAACCTGGCTGCTGTATTTTGAACCATCTGGAGTTTCTGAACTTGGTACAAGGGTAGCCCAATGCAAAGCGTATTGCAGAAGTCGAACCTTGAGGTTTCCAGCACATGCCACTGCCATCTTCAGTTTCCTCAAATCGAGGAAGGAGTGCAGCTTTACAAGTAAAACATGCAGTTTTATACATTCAAATCCTTTGTCTTTCACGCTCCCACCCCAGCTGGAGCCGGCTCCATGCTGATTGGTGAAGCAGCACTGACATCATTACCAGTTGGGAGGGACTCCTTCTGTGAGATGGTATTGCAGCACCTGCCAGCCAATCAGGGAGTGTTCTCTGCTTCCAATGCAGATTCTCGCTCTCCAGTGGCTGACAGGAGGCTGGATGGTCCAGGAGACAAAGGAATGCAAAGTGGGTTACTGTTGTCCCAGCAGAGGGACAAAACAAAGAGGGGCCATCAAGTCTCGTGCATTTTATTGTCTTGCTGATTTACTTTATGAGCCCCCAATCATGTGGGTCTAGTGACTCTGTCCATTGGGTTCCAACTCAGTATATTGTTCAGGGAGGATGGGATCCGATTATTCATTCCAGGGAAAGGGGAGATGGCATTGTGGAGAGCAGGGCAAGTCATCCCAACATGAGGGAAGGAAATGCCAAGTGGTTTGACTCCGAGGCCTGTTGTCTCTTGCACAGCCGGTGGTATGGCTCACAGATGATGGGTGATCGAGTCCTTTGTGATTAAGATCATGCCCAGGGAAATTGCTGGAGGGTGTTCCTGGGTCATGAGGTGCTGACGAAAGGTCACCAAGGTCTTGCTGGGTGGCTTCATTCACCAAAGTTTTATATTAAGACATAAAATATAATATACTAGCTTGGGTACTCGGCAGTGCCCTGGGGTATTTGAAAAAGGCACTGTTTGTTTTGTGGTGTTAGGTAATATCATTTCGTTAAATATGAAACACTACTTGTTAGAAAAAAGTCAGTTTTTGGTTTGGTTTTTTATGAATGCTCCCATTAGAAAACGCATAAGGATGTGGGTGAACTACAGTTCCCAGAATCATAGGTCAATCCTCCCCAAGCCAGGCCTGTATGCAGTTGGCCATGTTGCATCTATGTGCCAAGTTTGGTTCAGATCCGAAGTTGGCTGGGTTCAGTGCTCTCTGGATGCAGGTGAACTACAACTCCCAAACCCAAGGTCATTTTCCCCAAACCCTGCAGTATGTTCAGTTGGTCATGAGGCTTCTCTGTGCCAAGTTTAGTCCCGGTCCATTGTCAGTGGGCAGGGCCGTAGCAGGAAAAAAATTTCGGGAAGGGTTGAAAATTTGGGGGGGGGGAGTGTGAAAATTTCGGGTGGGAAAGGGGGGGGGTTGAAACCTGCCTCTTAGCTCATGCTGAAGCAAAGAGCACAGCAGGGGGCAGAACAGCCTTCAATAGCCTGCAGCTCCGCCCCAGTCAACCACCTCCACCAAGTCAGGCCTCCTTAATGAGAGCCTTCAACACCCCTCCCCCCAAATGCATCCAATTGCAGTTCTGGAGGGACTCCAGTTTTTTGTATCTCATAGACTTAGCATGGGGATTTGGTTAACCAGTTAAAATTCATGAGTAAACCAGGTTTATTTTTTTAACCTGAAAAATTTCGGGGGGGGGGTGAACCCCAACCCCCCCCCCTCGCTACAGGTCTGTCAGTGGGGTCCACAGTTTCTCTGGATACAGGTGAACTGCAACTCCCAGATTTCCAGGGCAATCACCCCCAAATGTCACCTGTATTTACTGTTGGCCATGTTGGGGCTGTGTACCAAGCTTGGCCAAGATCTGTCATTGGTGGGGGTTTAGAGTGCTCTGGGTGCAGGGTGAACTACAACTCCCATGCTGGTAGGTTGGTCTCCCTACAAACACCTCCAGTATGTTCTGTTGCTCACCAGGGTTCTGTGTGCCATGTTTGGTCCAGATCCAGCTTTGGTGGGGTTCAGAGTGCTCTGTGTGCAGGGTGAACTACAACTCCCATGTGGGTAGGTCGGTCCCCCCACAAACACCTCCAGTATGTTCTGTTGGTCATGGAGGTTTTGTGTCGCAAGTTTGGTATAGGCCCATCATTCGTGGGGGTCTCAGTGGTCTGTGGAAGTGGGTGAAGATACTGCAAATCCCATAACTCGTGGCAAGTGTGGTCCAGATCCATTGTCTGTGGCCCATCCTCCTCTAATCCTCACCAGGACAGAAAGTGCATCATAGGGTTCTGTGTGTCAAATTTGATCCAGGTGCATCATCCGTTCGGGTCGCAGTGGTTTCTGGAATAGTGAAGATACTGCAATTCCCATCATCCCTGGTTCATCCTTCCCCAATCTGCACCAAGACGTAAAGTGGGTAATGGGGGGTCTGTGTGGCAAGTTTGCTCCAGGCCCGTCATTCATGGGGGTCACAGTGGTCTCAGGAAGTGAGTGAAGATCCTGCAAATCCCATCACTCATGCCAAGTGTGGTCCAGATCCATCATTGACTGGGTTCACTGTGCTCTCTGGATGTAGATGAAGTACAAGTCCTATAAATCAATTCCGCCCCCCCTCCCCGCCCAAACCTCTTGTTCTGTTGCTGGTCAATTCTTGTTCGCTCTGTGCCATGGGAAAGGGTAGGAAAGGGTTAAGAGAAAGGCAGTGGGTGGGATCATGCAAATTCCACACCAATGGAGAGAGAGAAAGGAACCCTGGGAATCTCCATTCTGGAGGAAAAACAGAACATCTAGGATTAAATTGTCCCTGAATGAAAGCATTCCTTGGGTGGTGGGCAGTATGATGTCTGGAGAGGACATTGGCAGCATTTGGGCTACACGTTCATGGCGCCTACTGTGGCCTGAGAGTTCCTTGGAGGGAGAGCTTTTGGTGGCATCCAAGACTACCTGGAGTTGGAGGGCAACTGCCTTGTCAATCACCTTGCCCAAAACAGGAAGGTTCAACACCAGTCTGTAATTATGAAGGTCCAAAGGATTCAGAGAGGACTTCTTCAACAGCAGCCTAACTACTGATTCTTTTAAACAGGATGGGAAATTCCCCTCCCTGAGAGATGCATTCATAATTTTTCTTTCCGAAAAGGCAAAAGGAGACAAGATTTCCCACAGAAAAGGCCAAAGGAGGCAATTTTTCCCTCAGAAGAGCCCTCTTCCCTCAGGAAAGCTCAAAGGAGGCCACTTTTGTCTCACAAAAATCCATTTTTTACTTCAGAAAGGCCTCTTTTCCTCCAAAAAAGGCCAAAGGAGGCCAGTTTTCCCTCAGAAAAGGCCAATGTATATCAAGGAGAAGCAGAAAAATTAGAAAATTATCTTTTTGGACCACATTTGAAGCGTCAAACATCTTATCTCTTAGTCCAGAAGTTCTTTAGGAGGCCGATAATTAAGAAAAACAGAATATAATGCAATTCTTGGGTTTTCAATGGCGGAATGGAGACGGCGTTTCAGCCAACGTTTGGCAAAAGGTCCAGAGTCTCTCCAGGGGCCATAAAGGGATAGGATTCTTGTCTCTTGTGAAGATAGCGAAGGGGATTAAGGGCTCTTAATTGTTGGCCGATGGAAGAAACAACAGAAACAAATTATTCAGCTTCTTGACCTCTGTTTCGCAATAAGGAAACTGTAGGCTGTAATGGATCTCCCACAGAGCTCCAATAGGAGCGTTATTGCTTGATTATTGCTTATTGATTGGTTCTTGATCTATAGATCGGTTGGTTTTGCAATAAGGAGAGGGAAACACAGGCCTGAATGAAGGTTCCATAGAACTGTGAAAGGGAATGTTGTTGATCGGTTATTGATCAGCTATTGATTGGTTATTAATAGATAGGTTTGACTCAGCTGTCATTCTTTCACAATGAGAATGGAATGTAGACTGAAATGGAGTCTACAGAGGTTCCATACAGCCCAATAGGGGGAGTTATTGATTATTTATCAGTTATTGATTGGTGATTGATTGGTGAATGGATGGGTCCAACTGACCTTCCAATCTTTTCCAATAAGAAGGACACTGTAGGCCACAATGGAGTTAACACAGAGTTCTAACAGAGGATGTCATTGATTGATTATTGATTAAGAATGGGTTATTGATGGATCAATTGGTCCAACTTTGGAAGAAGAAGGTTCCTTAGCAATAAGGAGAAGGAAGATGCAAAAGGAACCATCGCAACCCAATAGGGGATTTTATTGATCAAATATTAGTTATTGATTGATAGATGGGTAACCAACTGAACTTCCACTCTTTTGCAATAAGGAAAAAGAAACTGTAGGCCCAATTGGCGCTCCCATAGAGCTCCAACCAGGAATTATTGATCATTTTTTTATTGTTGATTGTTATTGATTGATTGATGGGTCCAACTAACTTTCCAATGTGGAAGTGTCCGCCAAAATGTCGGCCCCATAGAGCTCCAATGGGAGTTATTTATTCATGATTGTTTATTAATCGATCATTGGTTATTGACTGGTTATTTATTAGGCTCACCTTCCAACCTGGGAGCAGGTCCTTGTGTCAGCAGCGACAGCGGCGACCGCGAATCTTGGAGGGAGACAATGATGGGACTCTCCTCTTCGAGTCAATAGGACAGTCAGTAGAACCCCAAGGGTCACCGAGAGGACTATGAATCCTAGGCAGAAGGAGGCGAGCCTCCTCCGGGAAAGAGGCATCTTGAAGCGGGGAAGGGAGGAAGGAAGGATATGATGATGATAATAAGAAGAAAAGAAGGAAGGAAGGAAGGAAGGAAGGAAGGAAGGAAGGAAGGAAGGAAGGAAGGAAGGAGAGGAGAGGAGAAGAATGTAAGGAAGGGAGAAAAGGAAAGAAAGAAGAAAGGAAGTAGAGGAGAAAAGAAAAAGAGAAGAAGTAGGGAAGGAAGAAGAAAGGATGAAAACGACAAAAAGGAAGAGTGATAGAAGGAGAGGAGAGGAGAAAAATTGATGGAAGGAAAGGAGGAAGAAGGGAAGGACTATGAGTAGAAAGTAAAAGAAAGGACGGAGAGTAAGGGGAAAGGATTGTGAAGAAGAGAGGAAGGATGTGTGGATGAAGAAGAGAAAGAAGAGAAGGAGAGAGGAAGGGGAAGAGAAAGATGAGAAGGAAGAAGATGGGTGAGGAAGGAGAGAAGAATAGAAAATCAAAAAGAAGGGAGGAAAGAGAAAAAAGGAAGGAAGAAGAGGAAGGGAGAAGGATGAAGAGAGGAATGTGGGAAAGATGGGAAGAAAGGAAAGGGACAAGAAGAGAAGATCAAGAGGAGATGAGAAAAGAAGAATATATGGGAGGGAGGAGGAGGAGAAGAGAAAAATAAAGAGGGAGAAAGAGGAGGAGGAAGAAGAGAAGAAAGAGGATGGGTCTGGAAGGAAGGGAGGAAGGAGAGAGAAAAGAAAGGAAGAAGAGTTGAAGGAAGGGAGAACGATGAAGAGAGGAAGGCAGGTAAGAAGAGAAGAAAATAAAGGGACAAGAAAAGAAGGATCAAGAGAAGAAAGAAGAGTTGGATTAAGAAAAGAGGATACAAAAAAGAATGAATGGAAGGAAGAGGAAGGAGAACAGAAAAAAGAGGGAAAGGAAGAAGGGTAAAGGGAAGAAAGGAATGAAGAAGGATGAGAAGTGGAAGAGAAAGAAGAGAAGAAAGAAGAGAAGGGGAAGGAAAGATGGAAAAGAGAAGGAGGGAATTGAAAGGAGAGAAAGAAGAAGAAAAGAAGGCAGAGATAGAAGAAGAGAAAGAATGTCAGAAAGAACAAGAGAAGGAAGAAGGAGAAGAACAGAATGTGAAAAAGAAAGAGAAGAGATTAAAACTCTCCTCAAACCTGAGTCTTGAGTCTTGAGTCTTGAGACAGCAGCTTGATCCCCTTCTTTCTGCCAAAAAGGAAAGAACGAATGAACGAAAGAATGAAAGAGAGGAGGAGGAGGAGGGAAGGAAAAGTCTTATCTGCTGGAAGCGGATTGGAAGAGAAGGGAGGCCTCCTCCTCCTCCTCCTTCCCTTCTTCTTGCAAAATCATATATATATATATATATATATATATATATATATATATATATATATATATATATGCATACATACAACTTCTGGATTTATTTATCTTTAAGGAGGTTGTGGGAGATTTATTCTTAGCATTATTACCATGATTTCATTTTATTATTATTATAATTTTATTATGATTATTTCAATATAGTGTAGCTCGCTCTCTATATATATTAGTACAAATACTAATAATATCAATTCATTAATTCAGTATTATATATATAACTATTATTATTATCACTATTTATATTATCATTTCATATTGTCATCATGATAATTATTTCACTTATTATTATTTAACTATATTAGTATATAATATATATTACTATTTTTTCTTTACTTTTATTATTATCATCATTGTTTCATTTTATTATTATTTAATTGTATTAGTAAATAATATATTACTATTATTATTATCATTATTGTTTTATTTTATTATTATTTAATTATAGTGTGTGTGTGTGTGTGTGTGTGTGTGTGTGTGTGTGTGTGTGTATGTATATATATATATATAAACACAATTATTACTATTATTATTTCACCATCATATTATTACTATTATTATGGCTCTAATGCTCCTTTTAATGCCTTCCTCCTTAAAGGCAGAATCAAATCCTTGACCCTGTTTTCTGGGAAAATAATGACTTATTTCCCAACATTTGTTTATCTTTCCCTCTGTTTCCTGCAGAGACTTGGATCGTTAGTCTCTAATTTAATTAAAGTTTGCAGAAGTTCGTCTGAGGATAATACACCAGGAATAGATATATATTATATTGAAATAACAATACTAAAATAAGAGATTGAAAATAATAAGAATAAAAATTATAATAATTATATACTTTTATAATGAAATAGTAATACTAATAATAAATATAAAAATAATAAAAATAATAGTTATACAAATATATATGACTATAATTAAATAATAAAAAGAAATAATAGTAATAGTAATATATATGAAATAATATGAAATAATTAAAATAAGTTATATATATTAATATAATAAAATAATAAAAACAAATAATAATCATAGTAGGAATATGAAATAATTAAAATAATACTTATACAAATAATAATAGTAAAGTATATGAAATAGTAATAATAGTAATAATAAGAGTAATCTATATGAAATAGTAATCATAATATGAAATATAGTCATATACATGTATATTAAAATAATTAATAATTAGTAATAATAGTATATATTAATATAATTAAATAAAATAATTATAATAATAGTAATAAATTTGAAATCATAATATGAAATATAATATAAATTGATATTAAAATAAATAATAATACTAATATGATATAATGAAATAATGATATAGTAATTATAATATATACATATATAATACATATACACATATACTAATATGATAATAATAAAAATAATAAAATAAAATAAAATAATAATGGTAATATATACATATTATATATATATATATATATATATATACAAACTCTAATATGAAATAATAATAATAATAATATGAAATAAGGGTAATAATAATGATAATAACAATGGGAATAGCTAAACTAATATAATGAAATAATAATAACATTAAATAATAATAAATGAAATAAGGCTAATAATAATAATAGCAATAATAATGGGAATAGCTATACTAATATAATGAAATAATAATAATATTAAATAATAATAATAAAATATATAAGAAGAAATTAGAAGAGAAGGAAGAATATTAAATTATAATAATACATAAATCCACATTCAAATTTTCATTTATATGATAGATAGATAGATAGATAGATAGATAGATAGATAGATAGCAAGAAAGAGGAGTTCTCATTCTTTTTCCTGTAAACTGTGATTAATAAAACTTTGTTCTGACAGGAAAATGCATTGTGATGATTCAAGTGAGGACGAATTCGAACCCAAAATATATGGGGATTTTTGTGCGAGGAAAGGTTAAAAGCAATAGAAATCCTGTTTTTTTAAGGAGCTGAACAGCCACTTATTAGAAAATCTAGGAAAAAGGCCAAAGAACGTTTCGGAAAAGGAGCCAAAACAAAGATATCATTTTCCCAAGAGAAAAAAATAAGACTTTTTTTCTTTCTCTTTGGAGGGAATTTCCAGAACTTAAAATGTAGGGAATATTCCCCACATTTTCAAATAATATAACTATATATATATATATATATATATATATATATATATATGGTTATTATTGTATGTCAAAACATGTGCATCTGCATAAATTATTTCATAGTATGTATTACTTAATGATTTAATATATATTCAAATTATAGATATATTAAATAATGTAATATATATATAATCCTATTTATTTTATTTTATGTCAAAAGCATTGCTTTACAACATATACCTAAATTTGATAATATATATTCAAATTATATATATATTTAATAATGAAATACATATAACTAAATGGTATTATATATATTCAAATTATATATATTAAATAATGTAATATTGATGTCAAGTACAGACCTCCACCCCGGGTCAAAATTATAATAAATTTCCTTGTTGGAGCCGCAGCGGGGATGAGCCATGACAGGCAAGAATCCTTGTAGGTTTTTCAGGCTATATGGCCATGTTCTAGAAGCATTTTCTTCTGACATTTCATCTGCATCTATGGCAAGCATCCTCAGAGGTTGTGAGGTCTGACCTCACAACCTCTGAGGATGCTTGCCATAGATGCAGGCGAAACGTCAGGAGAGAATGAGACCGAACGTGGAGCTCCCTGCCTTCAAGCTGATCTGACCCGCAGCAGGGAGTTCCACAGTTCTCCAAATGCGCCACTTGGGCCAACTGCATGAACGTGGCCACAGCAGCAGCTGCAGCTCAGAAGCCTTCTCATTTCTTTGCTTTCCCCCTTCCTAACATAGTAACTAATCCTCCCAATAAAAAGTATCAATTAATTGTAAATTTTCCCTCTCCGTGGTGTTACTTTGTGTTCGTTACTGCCTCAAACTTTCCTTTCAATAAACCTTTCTTCTCCCAGGCGGCAGACGGTTGCCGGCCCTCCTGGGATGCGATTTTTGCATCCTGGGGAGGCCGAAACTGCTTTCCCTTAAACCGCAGATATGGAAACCCCTCGGGCCCCCGTATCCACAAGTTAACGGATCGCTTCAAAAATGGTGCCAATCTTCTCCTGGAAGAATTCTAAGACTAATGGCTATCTCGGTTTCGCTCCGCTGTCCTTTCCACCCCAGGAATAACCTTTTTTGCCCCCAAAACCATATCCTGGAGTCCAGCTGTTTTTCTGAAGACGCTGCCTTGCTGCCACCATTTTGTGGATGTCCAAGGAGCCTGCCGATCCCGGGGAACTGTCGCAGTCAACCCATGGGATCCCTAAGATGTCGGCGGGCCACCTTGGTCCTTGGTGTGAAGAGATCTGTAGTTCTCTCCACGGATCTTGATTTTCAGCATTGGTGGATGACCATAAGGACTCTGTGGACACTGGGACACCTTTCCCCACTTGCCTTTTCTGGATTTTGCAACTTTGAACAACGTTCCCAAACTTTCAAGGACTTTTGAGGACATTATGAAATCTTTTCCCAAACCCTATTGACTCCCTTCTCATGATTAAGGGATGGTATGATTTCGTGCTTATGAACTCATTCTTTTGGAACTCTGGTGGGTGGGATGGGTGTATGAAATTCCCTTTATGCCTTATTATTCCTTGTGTATCTCCCTGGCCCCATGTGTATGTCTATATATGAAATATAAGAAAGCCACCTTTCGTGACCTCCAGCATATCGACAACCTTGGGTAACCTTTTCCCCAAGGCATTTTCCTGTTGACTCAGGATCTGAACAAAGGACTAATTATATGATAATACCCTGGCCCACCCCAGTCTCGGAGCAAGACCGCTGGAGGGGGGCCACTTGGAAAAACCAGCCATTTCCCAACAAAGGACACCCTGCTTTCAAAAAATGTCAGGATGTTCCCATTTCCTTCACTTTTGTCATTTCCCCATGGACCGAGGAAACCATATGGCTACACAATGGATTCATAGCTGTGACCAGGAAATATCAGGGCTGCACGATTGTGCCGGCCACATCTGCATATCTCAACCTTTTCAAGAGCCTCTACCGGCTTGAAAAATCCTTTCTTAGATTTATCGCTGGCCATTTGGACAGTTTAAATTGGCTTAATTCAATCATCTGGACATTCCTTTCATTGTTCTGCCCAAGGACCGCCTCCTCCACCCTCATTGGCTGCAGGCTGGAAGCGACGCTGGCTTTCTGATTGGCGGAGGCACAGCCAAGCCAGCCGCGCCTCCTCTCCAGCTGATGACACCAACCAATCAGAAAGAAGTCGGCTGAGGAGTGGGGGGCGGGAAATTTGAACTTTGACAGCTCTGTTTCTCTATAAAAATGTATCTAAATGTACTGCACGTATGTCTCTCCTTACGAACTATCGCGGTTTGACATTCGTTCTAGCTGGACGAAATAAATACAACTCGGTGGCTTTTCTTCAACTTTGGTGAGATTTATTTGGGAAAATTTAGGGAAATTCTTGTCTCTTTCCTCTTCGCTCGCCAGAGTACCGGATCCTTCTTGGTAGATCTAAGGACTCCTCTCTCCAGGGCAGGAGTCTCTAAATTCTAGCTTGATATCAATAATGCTTCTAGAACATGGCCATATAGCCCAAAAAACCTACAACAACCCAGTGATCCCAGCCATGAAAGCCTTCGACAATACAAGAATCCTTTTAATTCATAGCAATCAATTATGCGATCGATCGAGGATATGGAGGAGCCCAGCAGTAGCTACCAGTGCCCAGGATACGTTTTGCTACAATCTTTCCCCATTTTGACTAGTTTATTACATTCTAGCTCTTAAATAAACGTGCACCATGTTGCGTTACCCTCTATATCTGCTTCTTTGTATCTTCTTTACCTCTT